GGAATTATGAGATAATATTACACTGGGAGAAAAATGTTTTGATATTTGTGAGTATAATTGCATAGTAAAATAGTTATAATTAAAAGCTTTATTTTAATAGTTATTATTATTATAAAAATGTTAGTAAAAATAATTATAATTCTATATACAAAAAAATATATGTAGTTAGCATTGAAAAGATGATTATAAATTTATTATAATCATTGTGCCAATTATTTATTTTTTGTATATAAAACTATGCATAAATATAATCATTATTACTATAACATTATGAAGTAACAACTATAAAAATGAGAAGCGTTATCATTATCATTATTTTATCAATTACAGTATAAATACCAAATACTTTTCTCTTGCAATGTAAAAATTTAAAATGTAAAAGTTTTACACAGCTATTACTATTAGAATATAATTAATTAAAAGATAATAAAGATAAGATAATGTTATTACTTCGGGCGAATTTTCTTTCTGTCTTGCTGGTTGCTGATTTCGCGAGCAATCGTAAATGTTCATTCTATCAGCAATGCAGCATTCGTGTCCAGATAATACACAAGTTTGATGATTGTTTCTTTCCTGTGGATTGACGTAGCGCTCTTGTAACTTTGGAGAAATCTTCTCGGAACATGTTCGATTTCCGGTAGGAAATTTATTCCAATTACACGTTGCCGCACGCTGTATATCAAAAATCAAAATAAACACATCGACATGATCTAGATTTTATTGTAGAAGATTATTATTCTAGAAGAAATTTTTATTTCGGATTATATTATATAAAAGTGCGATCGAACCTGATTATAAAACGCATTCCGACATCCCACAAATCTATCGCGTTCGATGAGAGGTGCTAATATTCTGGCTCTTATCAATTCCCTCTCAATCGCTGCATAATTTTCATTGATCTGCCTTATATAATTTCTAAGTAAAATGTTATGTCTGGCTGCGTTACTGTTGCACAATGATCGATGAAATCCATTACGAGATTGTGTATAATGAGATGTTATGTTACCCCTGACGTTAATAATTTATATTATTAAATTGCTGGATAATAATTTAAAAGGAAAGTCACGAACGAAGAGTTGTCTCTTTTTAAGATTAATATAATTACCTAATATAAATAATATAATTACCTAATATATTAATGTAAATTGTTACATTACATTTGTTACATTAAAATAATAAAATATTTTTATTCCACTTTCAATGAGAAAAAAAATATAAGAAAAATAATAACTTTATGGGGAGGTAGAGAAGAAATTATAAATTACATAAAGGAACAAAAAAGTACATTCGGAAAAAATTCTCAAAAGGATGGAACTGCTTTCTATGTTTCAAAACAGAATAGATATAGTAAGCCTTAAGGAATTAATCATAGTCGAATGTAGAAAGAATTAATACTCCACTATATGATTAGTATAATTGATATGTCAATTTCTTAAGACTTAAGACTTACACCTATTGTATTTCGGAACTATAAGTCCAGACCTTATAAAATACTTTGATATATACATAATTTTCAAGATATAAAATGAAAAAGTAATCCTTATTAAGAGACAAGTCTCCAAGAGAGAGGGGAAAAGTATGAATTACAGTTGATGGGTTTCCTCCGGTTCCAAGCGATTGCCATCGTCGAGAATGGTAAAGCTCACATTGACTCGCAACCCTTGATTTGACGGGAGAGACAAAGAGGATAGATGTCTTATTAAGTGATTAGCGCGTAGCAATTCTGGAAGACGTACATCATAGCTTCGATTCGGCGTGAACAATCGGTCCCAATAATTGCAGAGAAATTCAAGATCGTGTCGAGTTCTCCGATAAAGATTGTCCGTTGGTTGCAAATAGATTGATCGTTTTGGCATTTTTACGTTTTGTAATAGAGTAACTGAGAATTTCGAGAGATTCGCGTTGGCCTAAAAATATGTGATTGTAGGTTGTGAGATTTTTTTCGCTTAGATCGTTATTTGTTCTCTTGGCCACATCGATTACGCGACTCCATTTTTCTGCAACTTGAAATTATTTCTTTGCATGACAATTACTGCGTTCTACTTGGCGTTCACAATGTTCTTTCATCCTTGTTATTTATCAAATATTAAACGAAGACAAATGATATTCACGTGTGTGAGCGCCAAGTAGGATGCATCTTTAATATCCAACTATATTTTATTTTTATGCTGATTACAGCATAGTCTCTCTCTCTCTAAATTTTAGACTCTCAGTCGTTATTTGATAAATCTACAAATCTTTTTACTAAAAAATCTTTTTTCTAAAAATAGCCAAATATAAAAAAATAACAATAATTAATTCTTTTCTATAAGATAAAGTTTAGGTACAATAATATTGCTTTCCTAAAAATTGTACACTGTAGTGACATAATGTGTCATATTTTGAATACGTCTTGTTTAATGTCATTCTCTAATTAAAGTTTATATGATTTTTTTCGTTTCTAATTGGCAAGTAATGAATATGAAATAAACTATCGACGAAATATATAAAATATTAAACTCGTTAGTTTGGAATATCAATAAACGTCCGGCGATTTTATCGATACTTTTTAACGACATGTTGGATCATAGAAATGGAAATGTGCGATCGAAATTTATGCCGCGACCACGTGAACATCATTCACTGCTTCCTGTGTATATTTTCGCAACGGCGCGAGCGGTCTGATTAATGGTTACATATATACAGAAAAACGGTATTCGCGGTGAACGAACTATAAAGCTACATTGTACTATAATCGTTTTTTTATCTAATTTGTAAAAAAAGTCTTTGTGAGAGTCTTTTTCTTTTATATTAAAAAAACCTGGTAAAAACAAAAGAATATTAATAGATTCATTCAGGACTGCTACTATATTTAACCGCTGTATTTAACTTCTGTATCTCTGAGTTGAAGTTGGCCACTGTGCTACATTGTATGCCAATATTGATAATTTGGAGTTGCTAATATTAGCTATTGATGGAGAAGCCAATACTGTTAATTTATGAAGCTGTCAAGGCGCTGCCAATATTGATTATTCATGGTGGGATTGCCAATGCGCTGCCAATATTGACATTTCGTCATATTACAATGCGCTACTAATATTGGATTTTGATGAAAATGCCTACAATTCCAATAGTGGCTGCTCATTGAATGCCAATGGATTGCCATCATCAATACTGGCAATTCATGGGTCTGCCAATGCGTTACCAATATTGGCTATTCATGAAATGCTAATACGCTGCTTATATTGCACGCCCATGATGATGCTAATGGATGCTTTCATTTGATGACATAGTCGACACATACGTATATCATTCTTGCCATTCAATGAATAACACGGACAAAATGACTACACTTGTGTCATCCAAATAGAAAGCAATATTAGGTGGAATAATTTCGATAGTGGATTTCTCATTTTACATTGCATTAGCTTATTGTTATTTATCTCATTATTTATATTTACTTTATTTTATTATTTTTGAACATATCTCTTAACTTTTGATAGGAAAAGAATTGAGTATAAATAATAAATAGTAAATTAATTCTGTATTTTTAAATTCTACATTGAAAAAAAATTTATGAAATTTGAATAAATATTTGTTTAGATAGTATCAATGAGATCATTTATTTACAAAAAATAAATTATTATATTTATTTGATTTAAAAAAATGGTATTTAAATTAAGTATAATTTTTTTAATTGAACAAATATTTCTTTCCTGTAAATAAATTTCTATATAAAAAATTTTATAAATAATATTTGAAATTTTTCTATATAAAAAATATGTATATGAACATATAATATATGTATATGTACAATTATATATGAAATATGTAATATCCATATATTCTTCTTTCTTTTGTAAAATTTTTTTTCTCTTGTATCATTAAATAGAAAATTTTAATTTTACTGCCATAGCAAATAGTCATGTCACAATAGAGTTACAACAGTTAGGAAAAAAATATAATGTCACTGTGAGATCATAATGAAATATGTTACAAAGCATTCGCAGATTATATATTATGTTCATATAAAATATTATATGCATATATAAGTATATATATTTATATATGCTTTTATATAAAAAAATTTTTACCAGGAATGTTATTTTAAAAAATTCTTATGCTAAAATTTAACAGAAATATGGATAAAAATGTTCAATGTATATATATATATAGATATGAAAAACATCGTTATATTTTTATTTTCATAAAAATACGAAGAGCAGTATTTTTATGCAAACGGTGGAATTTTTGAAAGCTTACATCAAAATTGCACGTTGCACTGAGATTATACTAGTTGCTCTTTTATTGCGTCCCGACAACTCTATAAGTCCCAGGTTGAGAGTCACTACTCGAAGAAACGACGCCATGTTGCGTGGACGCGCTGTGACAAAAAATATCAAAATTCGACGATGGCACTTGATGACGTTATTCGAGCAGACAGAAATATGACAGAACGGTAAGAGTCGAGATGTCACCATCGTGTTTTTTTCCATGTATTTGACAAGATTGTGTGGCATATCGTATTTGAAGTGACTTCGAGATGTGCCGTGTATTACAATCGATAAGATACGCGAGTTTTCGGCAATCATACGCCGCCAGCTTGTCGCCGCGGATGTAAACATAACCTAACTTTAACCTAGAGACGCAATCGCAATCTTTCCTATCACTGGCACCGCTCTTTTTCCGTGAGTACCCTAGAAATCCTAATCTTTAAGTCGTACCTGACTTTATCCTGTTCTCCGTGTGTCAGATTCCGTAGACTTGTATTTAAATATTTCAAGTGCTCGCGAAAGTGCTTGTAACATATCTACTCCTAATTTCTGAATTACTTATATGTGTGTGTGTGTGTGTGTGTGTGGTGTGTGCTGACGGTTGTTATTAACGAATTCTTTTAATTGATCGAAATTTAATTTTAATTTTTCTCGTTCCTTTCTTGTTACATTAAAACATTTATTGCGCAATATAAATATATATATATATAAAATTGTCATTGGCGTTGCTGCGCATGCAGTGCGATTTGCTGCGCATTTGTGCGAACGTCGCAAAACGTCGAGGTCACATGTTACGCAGTCAGTTGATTTTTTCAAAGTTGACTTTTTTACATTGCATTCTATGCAGTAGTTGGGATACACGTAGAAACAGTATTTGTGTCAATTGCAATTGGCAACGAGTAGTGTTGTTTTGCCGGGAACGTCCCCTTCATGTTTTTAATGTACATACATACATCCAACGTAGATTACGTGGATTATATTCTTAGCTGTAATACATCAGCCTTTCTTTTTGAGCTTTACTTTGACTCATCCTAAGATGTATTAATGAGAGACAAATAATGCACAGAGAAATATATCAATAAGAAGGATCTAAAGAGAATTGACTTGTCTAGGTAGAAGTTCTGTTTTTTATAATATTTTAAATTACTTTCTCTTTTTAATATTTTTGAATGTTGTTTTTTACCACTGGATTGTAAAACTAGAAATTAAATAAGTGTGAAATTATTGTGTGGGTTGGCACCAATCTCTCTTGTCTCTGACTATCTTAAGCCGTTTAAGCCGGCTTTCTATCCTTTGACTTTCATTTGAACATGAGATTCCAAAATTAAGGAAGAGTTTTTGTTTATAAGATGTTAGTTGTAAATATTAGTAGATATTAGATGTGAAATTTTTGTTTGTATTTTATTAACACGTTATTGTTAGCTGTGATCATATTTATTTAAGAAAGTAGATTTAAATTGTTGTTATGACAATTTGTTTAGGATGTACGATACTTTATGAGTGTTTTTTGATCAACCCATTAAGATGGAAGACGAGGAGTGCTTTCAACCAGTCTTGAGCTCTCAAGAAGAAGATAATTTTCAGCAATTAAACACCGTATCGGTCGTGTCGATTCCACTTTTACTTGGAGTAGGTATATCTTGCTTGGTGTGATACATCTTTAGATTTTTAGAATAATTAAAGGTCGGTTTGAATACATTGGAGCAACTTTTGTATCATAGGTTTTGTTGGAGATCACTGGGATTGTATTTGTGTCTATTTGGCCAAAGGAACAGAACAAATGTGACACGTATTTTATATACTTATATCTTCACTGCGCCTATTGGCTAATAGTCATGGCGATAGATCACATTGTCAAAGCGAGACACCATAATTTGCGTATTAATGGGTACCTAGATTTCTATCAATCAACATATCAACTTATAAGGACGCCTCTTTTCATCGCGTCGTTATGGAATACATGCTACTTGTTACTCGCTGTGATTTTACATCACACACATAAAGTTGACTACGAGCGGTATTGCAGAAAGTCAGAGTGGTTCACACCGCTCAACTATATTTTTCTCCTAACCACTTTGGAACTCATGATAATCTTACCAGCTTACATTAATTATATCAGTAAGTATCTTGAAAAGATAAAATATGTGTGTGTCTAAAGAGAATTAATTAGTTCGATAGAAAAAAGTTTTTATAGAAAAATAATTTTCTTGGGTTTTTATGTAATATTACAGACGTAAAATTTATATAAAGCGAAATATAAAAATCATTATATATAATTTGGAGATTTTATCAAGATTCTTTTCTCAGAGAAAGAAAATTTTGTTTGTTGAGGATTAAGATATTTTTACTGTGAACCTTAAGTAATAACTACACTAACATAAAAGTACTCTCAAAAGTTATCATCCTTTATTGCAATATTTGTTTCTCATGTAGAAAGAGTTATGAAGTTAAATCGATTACGTCCACCGCCCGATGTTACTCGCGACGAATGGCTGTCGCCCTTTACGCAGGATTCTTACTCCGGAATGGGGGAAATCGGGTATCGGCAAAAGGGGAGAAATTTGGAAGAACTGCTGGAAAAGCAGGCAGACATGATAAGATATCTGAAGGATCACAATGTAAAGCTAAGTCATAGAATAATGCTGTTAGCGTCTCAACACAGAGCGACAGAGACATAAAGCAAAACTGATTACATATCTCTTTTATGAAATTGACGCTTATTATTATCTAATAATAATAGTGATGTTATATCAGAGATTAGAATTATAATTGTTTAAATGTGATACATATGACATGTCTTTTAATGAATTCGATTGATTTGATCACAGATGTTTATACTAGATTACTGACTTCAACAAAAACGTTATAAATGGCCGGATATCCGGTTGAGTTTAATAGCCACTCCAATTATTTTGCACATAAATGACACATACACATCATACACATATATAACACATATATTGTCGCTGCCATTAAATCAACTTAAAAATTAGCGATCTAGTACTAGAATCTGTTCGATGTATTATAATAACTGAATTCGACATACAATACATGTACATATATTTAGAAAAGTTATTACTGCATAAGTTTGCTAAAAAGATACTTCATAACTGTTTAATTAATCATTATAGTTGGTAAAATACATGTTTTAAACTGTATAACATATGTTTTTTTTATAATATTGTTTAAAGCATGTTTAAAACATTAAAGACATATTTAAAAAGAAACACTATTACTCTTATTCTTTTTAAATAAAACATTAGTCTTTGCCAGCTTTAGTCAGTCGTAAGTTCTTTCTGTTTCATGTCTTTGGGACATATATCTATCTGTTGCATGAAATATATTACTTTTATAATCCATTTGTACACTTATCATTGTATAGATTTATTGTAAATATATAACAGAGCTGAGCTTAAAAAATGTCATTATTTAATACTTATCGTATAATAAGACCAAATGATTTATTAGAATCATATTAAGAATAACATTTTTTTAAATATAGGAATATTTATTAATATATCAATGACAAAAAGCTTGAGGAAGAGGAGGTATTACTGCGAAAAAAATGCAACTATATGTTCATTGTCAACTCAATAAAATATATGTATATTTTTTCCAGTAGCAACCATCATTTTACATACATTATTATTTCGCATACATGGGGCTATATAAATAATTAGTCAAGCAGCGGTTTCTCTTAATAAAACTCAACAGCGTGTCGTCGTATCTCACACATTACGATTACATTGAAAATTTACATATAAATCTCGATTACGTTTATATTAACTCGGCGTGATATAATATTACATTGCATTTTCTCGAGTCTCAAAAAGCAGCCATTTTCCATTGCAGCAGTAGAAAGCGGAACCGAGCTAAAATATCGAGCTAAATTATGGAGCCATGTTTTTCCTGCTCGCAATATTTACTCGCGCGAAATCAGAATCGCGTCTTTTCTCAGCATTTCATTACAAACATTATGATAAATGTATATATCATATACAGTCGTCTCTATAACATGCAATCGTACGAATAATATAAGTAAAAACTACATATGGTGACATAGGTTTATATGTATCTGTAATTCTCTTAAACGTAATATTATAGTAACGTCCGTAGGAATCTCGCAGCAGCAAAAATAATGCAGATTTTTCGTTTCGCATGCGTTCCACGCGCTACTTCCGCAGTCTTCCCGAGTATGTTGGAGAAATTATTGCCTCGCAATATCACTTTCAGTCGCGAAATTTCCTTTAAAGCATCTTACGTTTCTGAGCAGCTAAAATCATTCCCGTCTATTTCTTACATATTCTAGGACTCTCTTCTTAGTTTACACATTGTGCCAGTCGATGATACAGCGATCAAGAGATCTTTTCTGAAGTTTCTTTATCGCACCTGTTCTCAAGGAACTAAAATTACAAAATTATTCACATATATTAATAATTTCTATAAAAAGAGTGTAACTCATGTTTTATCTTTTTAAACATCTCGAAAATATAAAGTTTCATTAAGATTTAAAGTTTTTTATTTTTCTACATAACCGTACTGGAAAAACACAATGTGAGCGATCGTTATTTCAGTCGGTGAGAGAAGCGAGAGAACGATCGACAATTCAGTTCGAATTGACGATTTATCTTATGACGTCTTACGAATTAAACGAGGAAAAGATGTCCTGATTGTCGATTGGCGTAGGCTGGCACAATATGCAATAATAGACATCTTTACACTAGAGCTATATTATTTAACACAGGTCTACTTATGTGTCTCTTTAAGTATGTATATATAAGTCTATATAAATGCCTAATAATACCTATATCATCTGGATGCGGGTCTGACGCGGCACGTGTAAAAAATTAGCAGAGATGTCATCGAGACTTAAATCCATTTTATACAAACTCCTATGTTAATAGTAAAATGACGAAATTAAGTAGCATTATTTCCGCGTCTTTTCTTTTAGTTCTAGCGATTCTTCTCGAGCTTCATAAGGCAAACCCGAATGTACCGATAATTGAGCTAACGTTTTGTGTCCTTTTCTTATAGTTTTAATTACAATCTAATTGTAAAATTAGTTCTATAATCCTTAATGTTTTGTTCGTGCATATTTTCATAAACAATTTTTTTATTAATTTAATATTGGTATATTGTTAATACATCTTATAATCTTTTATTGGCAACATTAATTATTTGAAATTAGATTAGATTATTTAAAATGAAATTTTTGAAATATTCTTCAAGAAAGAAGATATGTCTTTTAATAGTTTAATGGCTCTGCAATTCTACTCACGTAATCGTGACTAAGAGCTGGGACTGCGTCACAGAAAGAGGTACAGAAAGTCGCTAATCAGGATTAATTGGTGACAATCGATCGGTACGGTCGGGCCTCGTTATACATATGTAATGGAAAGAAATCTATTTACAAAAGAATCACGTCTTCTCCGTCAGACCCGGCAGATTCGCCTTTATCGTACACGTATATTTACGATATTACAAAACTAGCTTACACTTATATGGAACACTCAACTCTACAACACTATATAAAACGTAGAAGCTTGTACACCCCGTTGTGTCTCGAGAGTAGGCTACGTGTGTTCGTGTATGACACCATATCCACTCCAGCACCTGCGTTTCCTCCGCGAAACGACGGCGCGATTGTCTCTCGCCGTCGTATCCGAATCTCGTAAAATTATATCGGAAACTCTTTCTCTCTCTCCTTCTCTCGGCCCACTCGCATCTCTTTTTTCATTTTTTTTCTTTTATTAAGACTTCACTGCAAAATTTGTACTACGCTTAGGCCAGCCGTTGCTGCTGAGCTAGTTCGAACGGGCGGTAGTTCCCTGTTCCACGCGCTGTGAACAATACGCAACCGCGGCTTTCGCGCACGTTCCCCATAAAAGTGTTCCTCATTATTGTCGTGTCTAGTGTTTTTTTTTTTATTCAGACTTTGTTGCAAACAAGGGTTAAATAAGGACGATCCCTTTCACGGGAGACTGATTACAGTACCCTTCGGTTGTCGATCCTGTCAGTCGGGCTTTAATTCGATCTCGTGAAATCAGACATATAGAAAGACTTCGAATGTGTTACGTATTACGTTGGTGGAATAATGCACTCGATGTGCATCTCGAACTTTTCAAATGGTATACAGATACTTTGTTGAATCACAAATAAAATTACGAGAATCCAAACGACACAAAATCTAAAATCGAGGCATATAAAAGGTTTTAGATTCTGCGCACAATGGAAAAAATATAAAGGAATAGAATTAAATATTAAATATTAGAGACATAAAAATTAGGAATATAGAGATTAAACGTAACGCACAATGGATACAAATCGTATCATATTTGTATATATATATATATATATATATATATATTGTGCGTTACGTTTAGTCTCTATTAATTTTTAATTTTTCTAATATTTATCATTTATTTTTTTCCTGTTCTTAATATTTTTTCACTTGTACACATCTACTGCCCGTTTTCACCAATGTAGTTTAATTTTAATCTCAATTAACTTTTCATCTTTTTCTAATTCTAAGAATTAGAAAAAGATAAAGAGTAAGTTGAACCGAGATTAAAGTTAATCTGTATTGGCAGAAACGGATATAAAAGATGTCTTATATCCAGATATTGGATTTTGTGTCTGATATGTTACTTATAATATAATACCACATATTGCAATAATAAATGCGCGTTTATCATATATAACATTATATACATAAAAATTTTATAAAATAAATTTTATATTAGGCTTTTAGTTCGAATTTAATTTGAATTTCTATAAACACATGCAAAATAATTATTATTTTATATATCTAATTGACATAAATAAATAATGTGAAATTTAAACTCTTAAAATTTTTTTCAGACATTGTCTCTAATTTGATTTCAGTCTTCATGTCAATTAAATCAAAACTGGGAATTACAAATTAATCCGGAAAATAAGAGAATACAGTAAAACAAAATTATAAACGTAATACAAAAAGAAGAAAACAGAAAGTAAAAGAAGTCCTCTCGAGTCGAGATTTCCCTTCTCTTTCACAATTAACTCTTGGATGCACCGTTTACTTCTCCACAAACGTGTGTCTCATACGTATCTGAATATTTCGAAGGCCTGTCCGAGGCGCATCCGAGAGTTAATAATCCAAACGTTCAATGATGTTCGCATCATCCGCGTCTCGTCTGTAAATCGCGACGGACGACGATGGTCCGTCCGGATGGGATGTCGTGGTCGAGGCGAACGAAGGGGAAACGCGGTGAGGCGGTGGTGGTCGGTTGTATGACGGTCGTCGACGTAATGGTCCTGACCCTCGGTGTCACTCTCGTCCCGGCGTCGGTGATAAAGTCATAAAATCACGCGTGCGCGCCGCCGATTACCGCCGTGTTCCCGGTTGCCGTCGTCGTCGTCGTCGATAACTGCTCCTCCGCTTCCATCATCTTCAGCTTGCGCACCACCTGCGCGTGCTCCTCCAGCAACCTGGCGAACTCGCCTCGCCTGGTTTCGGCCTCCACTTGGATCTGCTTGATCCTCTCTCGCGGTCCACCGGGACTGTCCAACGGTGTCTGCAACGCCGAATTCTGCGAGCTGCTCTCGCGCGACAGTCCGTCCAGGTCGGAGCCGTCGCTGAGGATCGAGTGCGAGTCCACGTCGTCCACGATGAGACTGTAGATATGAACGTTATGTAATAACAGTGACTTTAATGGAATGAAACAAATGTCAAATATGTGCAAAAATTTTTGTGATTTATTTGAAGATCAATTTTCAAAAATACTGGTTTCATTATTTATGCACAGCGTCATTATAATTTTTAATAAATAAGGATTAAGCTAAAAATA